ATCGGGTAGTCTGGGTCCTCCGGAGGACCCGGCCTGTCGTTTTGGACACAGCCAATATTAAATTACATTTACATGTTCACAATTATACACCAACTGTTGGAAAAGTTCAGCCAGACACTGATACTTCCTGTAATTAAATCATAGCTAACACACACACACACACACACACAAACTTGTTTTTTATATCCTTGTGGACCCCGTCCATTGACTTCCATTCATTTTTTGGTAATTTTATATCCTAACCCTGACCACCAACCCTAACCTCACAGGTACCTTCCTGACCCTAAAACTAACCTAAACTCAATTCACACCTTGGTCCTAAAGCCAACCCCCACACCTAAAATCAGCCTCCAAAGTTGTGGGGCCCAGGCTTTGGGCCCCACAAGGAGCACCCGGTCCCCACAATGCTGCATTTTCCTTGAACATGGGCCCCACAATGTAGGAAAAACAAGGACACACACACACACACACACACACATGCGTTTGTTCTTCAACCCTGTGGGGACCATACATTGACTACCATTCATCTTTTTAGACTTTGTAGCCTAAACCTGACCAGTTACCCTAAAATTAACCTCACAGGTACTTACCTGACTCTAAAACTAAACTACACCTTGGTCGTCAACCTAGCCCCCCACTCGTAATTTACATTTGGACCAGTGGGAACTAGGCATTGGTCCCCACAATGCTGTTTTTTTTTTAATTTTCCCACGTTGTAGGAAAAACCTGTCCACACACAAGTCAGTTAGTTTGACCAGTCACTGTTTTTCCAAGAACCTCCTGCTTAGTGAGTGACCACAGGACCTCTATTTGAAGGGAATGGAGACTTTGTTTTGTAAATCTGCTTCTTTGTTATTGCAACCCTAACCCTCATAACTAAGCCTTCACTAACCCAGTTCACATCTTAATCCTAAACCTAACCACTAAACCAAAACTGGTGTTCATCATATTAGGACCAGGCTTTGGTTCCTAAAAGGGTTGCTGGTCTTGACAAGGTACAGTAGGTGTTTGGTCCTGGTGTTCCATGTTTGCTGTGAGTCCTGTCAGGTGTGGTAGACTCAGATCTCTATTGTACTGCCAACAGAGGCACTTAGTTTCAATCACTGAGTCCAACAATCATATTTGGTACATCTGATCCATACTTCATAAAATGAATGCCGTTTTAAATTAAAAGACTGACTTTGTCTCCTTTGGTTTGTCTTCAAGTTCCCTCCACAGTGGAGGATCTCATTGCACCCAACATGACAGAAACCTCCGTCACTCTAACCTGGACCAAGCCCCAAGGAAACCTGGGTTTCTACTCGATTCRAACTGGAAATCTTTACAAGGAAACCAAGGATGTGCATTTCGAGTTTGGTGGTCTGGCCCGTGGTACCTGCTACACGTTCACTGTCATCACCATAGTAGATGACAGGTCCTTGCAGAGCAAAGCAGCCTACGTTTCCCAGTGTACCAGTGAGTTCACATCAGAACCAATGCTTCTGTATTTTTAACTAGAAAGAGTCCAAATTAAATGGGATTATCTTCCTCGTGTTGTAAATGAGGAACTTTTACAGCTCTTTTTTTCCGTCACGTTATCTAAAATTCAAATGAGCAGAGGCAAATCAGGCTCTTGGCTGACCGGAACTGACGGCTGCAGTTTCTCTTGATGTCGGTTTCCAGTAACCACATAGGGATGCTTTGTGTGTTTTTATCTTTCTCTGTTTGTTGTTTGTATCAGAGCCCGGCGTCGTGTTYGACCTGAGAACACAGAATAACACTTACACGTCAGTGTTTCTTCTGTGGAGTCCACCTGATGGAAACTACACGGGCTTCTTGGTGAYGGCTTACAACAACTCTATGTACGTAAAACATATTTTAGGTGTTAAATCATATTGGTTCTTCTTTTTAACTTTTCCTTTAATCCCTACTATCAGCCACCACACTAAAAATATCCAACTTSGTTTTTTTGGGATGAAAAACAATTTTTCAGTTGAAAAAACTAAGTGTGACGTATTGGGGACAATAGTTTAAGTCCAATCCAAAAAACCAAGGCAGCTGTAACCTTAAACATTATTTTGTGAGTTGTCAGTACTTCTACCTCTAAGCTGTGGGTCATTGCAACAGATGAAAGTGCTGCTAACTTACATGCTTTTGTTGTGAAATGTGAGAAAGACAACTTTTGAAGTTGGCTTTTGAGTTGAAGACAGAGTGAACTACTCGGACATGGAGCTCGCAGAGATAACTTTTGTTCTTATACGTCTGGTTTGTATTTATCCAATCCAATCTTTTAGTGTTAATAATGTTTAAAAAAAGAACAAAATAGGCCGAAAGAGAATTTGAAAATATTTGTTTCCCTTTTCCTGTTTCTTCCTCCTATCAGCTCAGATGTCAGAGTTCTGGCTCCGCCTCTTTGTTGCAGAAATGGATAATTTTCTGAAAACTCACCTCTGAAAAAGACAAACACTTTAATCTGTGATTCATGAACCATTTTGAGTTTTGTTCTGTTGTCACATTCAGGCTTGATTTAGCATCTGTGTTAAGTTTTAGCTACTGACTGTAGCTGACACCATGACTGAGAGGTCTGTGTCACAGAAGTATAGAGGGAAAATGGCCAGGA